GCTGATAAGGACTCACTGGCTACGTGGATTCAGATTTTGCTGCTGATTTGGATAAGAGAAGATCTCTCACAGGTTATGTGTTCACTATTGGTGGTTGTGCTGTGAGTTGAAGGGTAACATTGCAGCCCGTTGTTGCCCTGTCTACCACTGAAGCAGAATACATGGCTATTGCTGAAGCATGTAAAGAATCAGTTTGGTGGAAAGATTTATTTGCTGAGCTTTGTGGAGATAATTCTTGCATTAATTTATTTTGTGATAGTCAAAGTGCTATATGTCTCACTAAAGATCAGATGTTACATGAGAGAACGAAGCACATTGATGTCAAATACCATTATGTTGGCGATGTGGTCGCACAAGGTTAGCTGAAGGTATGCAAGATAAGCACACATGATAATCTTGCTGATATGTTGACAAAGCTAGTTCCTGTTGCTAAGTTTGAACTTTGCTCAAGCTTAGTTGGTATAATTGTTTAGTCCAAGAGGCTATTTGGTACCGGAAGTATTTCTTTGTTGTTTTAGGATGAATGTTCGTTTATGCTACAAGAAGGAATTTGTCTCAAGGTGAAATTTGTTGAGTTGTGATCCAAATTTAGTCATGTACAAGATAAATACTAATTTCTGCCGAAGCGAAGCGAGGCCCATCGCCGGGAGGCTTGAGTCGCCTATTAGGGTTTTCCATCTATATATACTCCATGTAAGCCGTCGTCTTGGGATAAGAAAAGTTATAAATTCCCAACGTTTGTAACCTCAACCGATACAGTGAAGATTTGTTGGCTGGTGCCCGTGGTTTTTTCCCTTCCACCTTGGGAGGGTTTTCCACGTTAAAATCTTATGTCCCCTATACTTGATCTACTGTTTTTGTCGTTGTTTATATTGCCTTTCGTTTATAACAATATGTATGCAAACAGAGTAACACAATCTATCAATTTGTTTCAAAATCTGAACATGTTTACCTATTTTATTATCAGGGCCTTGTTTAGATTGTAAGTTTTTTCACTCTCTCTCCATCACATCAAATCTTTGGACACATGTATGGAGTATTAAATATAGATAAAAAAATAACTAATTACATAGTTTGATTGTAAATTACGAGACAAATCTTTTGAGCCTAGTTAGATCATAATTGGACAATAATTGTCAAATACAAATGAAAGTACTACAGTCCAAATACTGATTCCTAACTCCAATCTAAACAAGGTCCAGTTTCATCGACCTGATGTATACTCATGTGGGGCCACTCATGTGACTCTTCCGCGCAATGTCAAAAAACAGGAGGTTCTACTTCAACGTGAGTGATGCTTGGAACTGTGTACGATCTCCACCTCAGAGTGATGCTTTGCTTCATTTTATACCTACAGTGTAGAGCATCACTCCATTCTATCTCGGCTGTCCCCACAATCAATAAAAAAGGACACATTTAATCGGGTTGCCGGATATTTCAAAGGCCAGACGATGCATGTAAGGTGGGTCCGCAGAATTCTTTATTTTTGAAGCACCGTTCCTCAACGTGCGCCGCTCCTGGAATTCCTGGAACTGGCATCGTCTGTTGCAACGTGAGGAGTCACTCCCAAACGTTCTCTCTTCCATTTAAGCTTCACTCTAGCCATCCATTGTTTTTTTTTTCCGAAAAGATCCGTTACCGGCTTTCATTTATAAGAGAAGAGCAGAGCAATTACCAGCCTGTTTGTTTCGGCTGAATCGACTTATAATCCATGGTTGAAAATACTGCTGGCTGGTTTGTGTGAGAGAAAAATACTATTGAAGTCGTGGATTATAAGGCTAGATACGAGCAAATAAAACAAAACGAACATGCTGTACATGTCTAAAAGGCGCAAGGACCGCCCATTTGCACGGCTTCACAGTTCATTGAAGGCCACACCACCCCTACAGTTCAATAGCTCAATTTACACGATGCTTGTAACAGCTAAAAATAAGATAAACATCTATACTATTGGTCCAAATGGCACAACTTCTGGTAGCTGCGCCGGCGATGGTGGCACCATTTCCACGCCTTTGTTTCCAGCGCGTATCCAAACTCTTGCCTCATCCTGAACTTCACTGAAGACTTGTTCAGGTGTTCTGTTGATCTTATTGAAGACGCGGTTATTTCTCTCCTTCCAGATTTCCCAGACGGTTAGCATGACCATTGATCGTACTCCGTGTCTCCTGGTTTGCTGACCGCTGTTACCTTTCTCGACGAACCATTGCTAGCCATCCATTGTGGGGGCCTACAGCCATATTATTAGACCATTATTTTTTGTAAACCAAAATCAGTAGTTGGTCTGCTGATCGATTTACGCTATTGCACTAGTAACCACATATGACACGTACGTAGAATTAGGTTTTGTGCGTTTGCTTCAACCCCCCCCCCACACCCACCCTGTGTGTGTGCTTTAGATGAAAATACAAAAGCAGCCGGCCTGCGGTCTTTGATTAATTTATATAGTTTGGATCAACGTCATGGATGAGCTGTTTTAATAGCCCCAGTTCACCATACATCAGCAAAGGGTTCTGTGTATGTACCTTCAGTCCTATGCAAATATTCCATCACTCGTTGGAATCGACAAAACCTAGAACCTCACCTTGTAACGACAGGAGGAGCTGGGTAAGAAAATAGCTAGCATAGAGCAACCACACTAGACCCTGTCTAGGATAACTTCATTAGGCTCTGGTTTCTTCCTACAGTACGCCAAAGAGTTAGAGCCAATAAAACAAAAACAAAAAAATAGTGACTTTACAACCTCTAGTTCATTTTGATAAAAAACATAAGAACTACTATAGTGTAGCTACAATATTATAAAGGAGCTAGAGCCACAACCGGCTGGAGCTCCACTAAATAAGGCCTTCATTTATGCTACATTTTTTTATACTCCATCCTGTGTATCCGGCACAAATGATTCAGCCTTTGATCAAAATCTATTCATATTTTTGTTGAAAAAATTGTGATCGACAACAGCTTCTAAAATATTTAATTTGGAGATAAGCTATAGGTGTGTAGATTTGTCTTCATTATAGCATCTCCAACGGTCTTTGTTAAATCCACTCTCTAAGTCTTTATTGGAGAGTCATGTGAATAAAAATTGCTCTATGTATCTTTACACCTTCATACAACTTCTCCATATCTTATACGCACTTTTAGATATCCAATACTACTCTTCGTCTTTGGCTAATGATAAAATAGGAATAGAGGATGAGATCTAATTGAAGAAGTTGTTGGAGGACATTTTTCACCAAAATTTCTATTTCTATCAATATAGAAGGATATAAAAAGTATGTTAGAGTTGCTCTAAGTACCTTTAGGATCATGTATGTGTCAATGTTTCATGCCACTAGCGAGTAATTTTGGTGTCACGTGTATCTTAGAGTTAGAGCCAATAAAATCGTTACAAAAGTTTATACTAGTTTAGCTGGGGCTAGTGTATGGATTGGGAGATCAATTGCTAACGCCAGGCCAAAATGCTTGAAGAATGAAGACGCTTGCAACGGTTGATAGCAAGGTGATCGAAGAACTCAAGATTGAAGGAGATCAATTAGGAAGTCGAGTGAAGCGCACCCAGGGACTCAATATCAACTGGATCGTGGAGGAATGTGTTGCAGGCCTCTCCCTTGTATGTGTATATACCCCATGAGGGTCAATGTAATCAATAACAAATTATCAATGTTTCTTTCATTTTTTTGACAATAACAGGAGGGGTTACCCCTACTGGTCGCATATATTAGAAAAAAAACTATTGTCAAGTACAAATTCTGGATAAAAAAAGTAAGGAAAAAGATCAGGGCAATTACATAAGGGAGACTAGCCATTCATCTATTGCCGGATAAAAATTAGAACCCGCTCTTAGCACAACTAAGGCAAACTTATCCACCTTTTTTAATGGCCGTGTGGATTTGGCCTTGGGGAGAGAGAATGTGTGTGGAGAGGAATGAGAGACGTTTGGCATGTGGGGCCCACTGCCACGTGTCATCCACGTGAGTGAAATTCACCTTAATAACATAATGGCTAGATGTGAACGTTTTTATGTAGTTAGATGGTCACAAAAATTTGGTTTTGGAATTTTAGGGTAAAAAATTAAACTCTGACTATTGAACGTAAAAAGAAATGGATTTCTCCTTAACGATAATGATAGAGGATATGAACTGTGCCTGGAAAATGTAAATTTGACTCCGATTAGCGTAGCGATTGGCTAGATGGTGTTGCATGACGTCGCGTCCCCTTCTGTTGTGTTCTTCCATCCCCTGCTACTTCTTTTAATTTTTTCCTTAGCGATTAACGTTTTTCTGTTACTAATTTATAACCAAGGGCACGGTGCGAGCCCCTCCTGTTTTCCTGAAGATGGATTTGTGACTGAAAAATGTAAAATTGACAGATGAAATCCAGATTCGGCAGAACTAGTCAAATAGCACACAGCAACAACTGCTGTTATGGATTCAGATAATCAGATTCCTCCTCCTTGAAGAAATTAATATTACAGAGACTTTACGGACAACCTGCACGCAAGTTACAGATTGACCATATATATGCAGAGCTGATTTCTTCAGCTGGTACGTACATATTACGTATATACCCCCGTACACGTACGTATAGTTGCATACGGCATATGGCTTCTGAAACCTCAACAAGAAGCTTCCTGAACCTGAGTTAACTAATCCGACCGGTAGTAGTGCTTGCTTCTCTCACTAATCAAATTACACTGCATTACATTACACAGAGTGTGGAAAGAAAGAAATAAAGAAAGAAGAAGAAAAACAAAAACTAATTAAAGTGACAACAAATGTCGGAGCAAGCAATGCAAGAGAGAGAACTAATTAAGGTAGTGCAGGTGGATGGTTTCCGTTTCCAGGCCGCCTAAGGCTATTATAGGCTGCTAACTCAGCTTGAGTTGAGCCTCTCTTTGAGAGGCAGGCCGCCCGCCGGCAGCTGCGAGCTGGTGGTACGTTCTTGACTTCTTGTGTGGCCGGCCGGCCGGCCGGCTGGCTGGGGCGGTCGGTGGCTCCCCTAGCTTAGCTGCTGACCTCTTCCAGGTCCGAGTTCGACCCATCCGTGACGCAGCTGCTAGCGGACGACGGCAACGGCGACGCCGCGGCGGCGGGGTGGGCGGCCGGCACCGCTCGCCTCCTGCTCGGCCTGCTGCTGCCCTTCTGGAAGACGCGGCAGACGACCCACTCTCCTTGAGCCTGAGCCAGGCTGCAGCCCTGCGTGGATGACCCAAATAAACGAACTGTCAGCGTCAACGTCAACAGTGGTCAGTGGATCTGAGCATCTTGCTAGCCGACGAGTAGGGCTGGTTTAGTTTCTCGTTCTAAAGTTTACTCTCTGTCTTATCAAATATTTGAACATATAGAGTATTAAATATATACTTAAAAAAATAATTAATTATATAGTTTGTGACTAATTTGTGAGATAAATCTTTTAAGCCTAATTAGTCCATAATTCGACAATGTGGTGCTACAGTGACACATATGTTAATGATGGATTACTTAGATTTAATAAATTCGTCTCGTAAATTACGAATAAATTCTATAATTTATTTTTTTATTAATATCAAACACCCTACAACACCTTTCTACTACGACATCCGACGTGACAACCGAAACTTTACACCCACGTCCTAGGTGTACACGATGCTACTGCTCAACAGCTGCTGAAACTGAAATGACCGATGCTGCAAAGGTGAAGGTGAAGTGAAGGGAGTCTACTGTAGTGTGGTGTGTAGGAGCAGGCGTTGCCAATCAGACAGAGCAGCTACTACTACTACAGGTAGTGAGTGATGAAGCAATGCTACTGCACATACAGATACAGTACTGTGCGAACCAATAATCGATCTGTTTACTTCGGCTGGAGCGCTCTGACGCGAACACTGTTCATGTAAACAGTATTTTTAGCTGGGAATAATATTTTTCCCTCGTATAAACCCGTCAGTGGTATTTTCTCACGACCAAGCCAACAGTTCTAACAGGCTGAGGATCGTGTCTGCCATCAAGACGGACGCACGATCGATGACCGGCGAGGACTGCTCGTGCAGGTGCCTTGTAGTACGTCTCCAGAACAACTGCAGGATGACTTATGGCTACTGATGAACCAACACCAAGTGCCGTGCCGGAGCGGCCGCTGCACAGAACTGCACATCCATCTCTCTCGCATCGCATGCAAGTGATCGATCGAGCACCACACGCAGTTGTTTTCTCTCTCTTTTTGATAACAGGTTAGTTACTGTATCATTCATTCCAGCTACTACCGGCCGGTAATATCCTCCCTCACCAACAAATTGATCGGCAGGTGGTGGTGTGGGATAGATGCAGTAGATGCAGTAGTATTTGCAGGCTAATGAAGGCGGGCGGCGTCGGAATTAAAGTGCCAGTAGTTCAGGCGCTGCTGGTTTGGTTGATTGGTTGGCTGGTTTATGGTGGGGGTTGAGGGACAAGCAGAGCAGAGAGATCACACGGCGGAATAATCCGATCGATCTGAGCAGCTACACAAGCATGAAGCATCTAGCAGCAGTACTGATTAAGTACAGCTACCACTCGGTGTCGGCATAATGTTTATGGCTGATTAAGTACAGCTACCACTGATTAAGTACAGCAACCACCAGGGTATACGTATATATGATGGCAGGCAGGCGATTAAACACAGCGGTTTATGGCTGATCTCGACAGGCCATAACTATAACGATGGATGATGATCCATAATTGATTCATCACCCAAAACAATTTTATTCCTTTTTTTCCTGGACACCGAAATCGAGTTTTTTTTCTGGTCTTGAAATAAACCAATTAACCAAGCATGATTTTTCTTCCTTTTTAATAACCAAAAAGTCTCCTACAAGAGTACATTCATAGCTTAACGTACAACAACAACAACAATGCAAACAAGTTGAGGTAGGCTTGCTGAAGTTAATTAGGGTTAATTAAATTAATATAATGGAGAGAAGAGAAGACGAACATGGATACATGATTTTGTTATTATATGCACATAACGTGATCATGCCAGATTTCGTTTGGGCTGGTTTAGCTTATAAGCCATGACTGAAAATAATGTGGGCTGGTTTGGTGCGAGAGAAAAATACCGTTCGTTGGTGGAGCTGATAAGCCATGGCCGGCGAAGCGAACAGGGCTAAGGCCCCGTTTAGATCCAAAATTTTTTGAATTTTGACTCACTATAACATTTCGTTTGTATTTAGTAATTAGTGTCTAATTATGAACTAATTAGGTTCAAAAATTTCGTCTCGCGATTTTTCACCTAGCTGTGCAATTAGTTTTTTTTCATCTACATTTAGTACTCCATGTATATACCGTAAGATTCGATGTGACGGATGCTAAATTTTTTGGAATCTAAACGAGCCCTCAGATGAATGTGCCAGGATGAACAACTTTACACTGGGTGCATGCTCCACCATCTATCTACTCGCCGGCCGGCCTAGCTAGCTATTCTATTTCTATCCCCATGGCTAGCTAAACTCACCTGCTAGTGCTACTTAGTTCATCCCTCACTCTCTTTACATGCATCTGAGCATCTCTCTAGCTACATGTTCGTAATCCCTTCTCGTAATCTCACACTCGATCGATCTCCTCAGGTGTCACTAGATGCAAGTTTACAGTTACTGACCTATAATTAGCATAACTTGGAGCGGTTAATTATACACCGTTACCGATTTCATGAACTTTGTCACTGTAATCAGACCAGTTAGAGGCCCGTTCGGTTTATCCCATATTTTTCATATTCGATTTGTTTAGCTTTTTTTTTTCTAAACAGTATTTTTTAGCAGCTTCAGTCAAGTTTTAGATCTATGATTTAGTATTATGATGTGTGTGTGAGAGAGAGAGAGAGGTAGAAGCATGCACGCTGCGTATATGGAATTACGGAGTAGAATCACTCACGTTCTTGTGCAGCGGCGCGGCGAGGCGGTACTCGTGCATGACCCAGCCGGTCGCCAGGGCCGCTGACGCCAACGACGACGACGCCTTCTTTTTCTTCCGGCGGGGCACGAACGTCATCGCCCTCTTCACGCCCACCAGGAGGCTCCCTCCGCCGCAGGGGCGGGGCAGGACCACGGGCTTCTCCTTACCCGACGGCTTCCACCGCCCGCTCGCGGTCGCCCTTGCACCGCCGCTCTTGCCGGCGCCCGCCGGCCGCACCGCGAAGAAGTATTTCTCCCCCTCACTGCTCGCATCTGGAGGCAGATAGATCGACACACACAAAAAAAAAAAAGATTGCAGCTTTAGTTCTTTCTGTTTCTCCTAGTGATAGACACGATAGATGTTCGTTCGAAGCGTCGTCGTCGTGGCGTGTGTGGTAGTACCAGGGCCAGGGACGACGACGTCCCAGGGGTCGAGGTTGTAGAGGTCGCGGACGACGGGGATGACGGCGGCGGGGAGCGGCACGCCGAAGGCCTTGCGCCGGAGGTACTGCACCACGAGCTCCTCGTCCGTGGGGCGGAACCGGAACCCCGGCGGGAGCTGCCGCAGCGCCTCCACGCCGCCGCCGGCGTGCCTCACCAGCACCGGTGCTCTCTCAGCCGCCATGCCCAAAAAGGTTCCTTTTAATTTACCACCGGCCACTTCTTCAGCTAGCTCCTGGCCTACTGTGCTGCTGCTACACCGCTAGCTAGTACGCAGCTAACGAGCTAGCTAGCTAGCTAGCACACACCTGCGCGTGCACTGCTCGCTACCTAGCTGCCGCTACGCACCACAGCTTAGCTACTAGCTACCTCCTGTTTAACTTGGTACAGGGGGCAAGCTGAGCTCTCGCAGCTTCTCTGATTACTTAGCGCGCGCAGGACGCGTGCAGCTGCTCGATCGGAGCGTCCATGGCGAGCGAGAGATTGAACAGAGAGGGGAGAGGGAGAGGCAGAGAGCTGGGGGTGTGCGGGCAGGGGGTGGGCGAGTGTGCCTGAGGCTCTGGGGAGGAGAGAGAGGGGAAAGGGAGGCTTTATAGGGCGCCCTGTCGCGTCAAGCTTAGGTCTGGTTTACAGCCTCTTCCGGTAGCACCGAGAAATAAGTTAAAATACTGTTTCAGTTAATTATTATGAGAGAAAAATACTGTTCTGACTAAAATCACGATTCACGCAAACAGTGATTCGTGAGGGGCTGCCCAGCCAGCCAGCGGCCAGCCAGCCGAACAGCCCCTTAATTTCTCCTCCAAAACTTACTCAGGTACATCGAGTATTTGACACATGTATTAAGTATTAAATATAGACTAAAAAATAATTAATTATACAATTTACGATAAATTTACGAGACGAATCTTTTAAACCTAATTAGTCTATGATTTGATAATGTGATGCTACAGTAACATATGTGTTAATAACGAATTAATTAGACTTAATAAATTCGTCACATAGATTACCAACGAATTCTTTAATTTATTTTTATTAGTATCAAATATCCACGTCCTAATATATCATTAGATGTGAAGTCTAACAGTCTATTCGTTTGTTGATTTCAAATTACCTAAAATCAGTATATATTTTTCTCTCAAATGTGATGTCTAAAACCCAAACCAACCCAAAACTTTACGCCCTGAATGGAAACGTGGCCTTACTCCATCTGCCCTCCTCCCTCCTCGGCGCCTCAGTTGAACGTATGTACGCCATCGGTGCCTTCTCTGATCTGACAAGCTAGCCCGCCCGCCCGCCCACTCTGCCCCGCCATCCCGGCCGGCGAAGTCCACTGTCGTCAGCCTCGATTGCGCGCCGGTTTCGTGAACTCCTTCCAGAATCTCCCAGGAAGTTACTTGGCCGCTCACACTACAGCGATGTGAATCGTCCAAACTATTGTTGCTCCTTTTTTTTTGCTTTTATTATCTGTAGCTAGCGGGTAATAATTCATATATCCGCCGATTTTGAATAGTAGAGCGCTCTGATTAAGTGATTATGTACATTTATTTGACGGATGGACGATGTGGACTGTTTCGTGAATTAAGGGCCTATTTGCATTGCTTTCCCTTCCGGTAGCAATTCCAGGTGTTCGATTTTGGATGTGATGGCTGCTTAAAAGAGAAGTTAATTGGGAGGCTTCAATCGTAACAGGTCTTAAACCATATGCGATCGTCCAACTTACGCCCTCCGTATTTTGTTGTGCGCAAGTGGTGGACCTAGGGCTTGGCGACCTCAGACGCTTACCTTGGCTCCAACGACGGCGCATGTTTGTGCCTTCATCGCAGTACCCTTTGTCTAAAGCTTTAAAATATATGACTTCACCTGCCTCTGTTCGCTTGTCTTATAATCTGTACTTTTTATCTTGTTTTTTTAGTCGGAATAGTACTTTTCTCTCACAATAAATTAGCCGGAACAATGTTTCGACTTGTTTTTTCAACGAAGCGAACGGGGCCTAAGTTTCTTTCGGGCTCCATTTGAGTGCTGGGTCCGCTTGTTGTGAGTCCATCTAATTTCAAATTGCAAAATGGCTTCTCTCAAAGCTAGGCAACTAGCAAAAGCTGGCATAGCTTCTAGTTTTATTTTAAGCCAAAACTAGTAGCTTTACATCCGGCTTGAAAAAACAAGGCTTTTTTTATATGTGTACAACCAAACCAAGTTCAGCAAAACTAGGGTGCTAGTAGCTTTTTATCTATTTGCTCCTTGGTCACAGTTCACCCTCTCTCCCTCCACCTTTCATTCATGCAAACTCTCCTCACCTCCTCATGCCACACAAGTGACCCTTGTTGACCCATTGCGCGCCACATCTAAGGTTCCCAATGGCTAAGATAACCAAGCATAACGTTGCTACCCTCTCTCTGCTTGGCTCACCGTCTTGTTGTCGGGGACCAATACTAGGGTACCAGAAGAGAAGGGGCTAATGGTCATCAACATTAGTTCATCCGAGCAGTCAAAAGCACGACTACGGCTCCAACCGGCCCCTAGGTGCGCGGGCTCCGCCTCGACCGACCTCTGGGGATCCCCTGGGGGCGGGCTCCGCCTCGCCCGACACCGAGGCCACGGGCTCCACCTCGCCCGACCTCTGAAGGCGGGCTCCGCCTCACCTGACACCGAGGCCGCGGGCTCCACCTCGCTCGACCTCTGGAGGTGGGCTCCATCTCGCCTGACACCGAGGCCACGAGGCTCCGCCTCGCCCACCCCTGAGGCCGCAGGTTCCGCCTCGCCCGACCCCAAGGTTGCGGGCTCCGCCCCGCCCGACCTCTGGGGGCGGGCTCCGCTTGCCCGACCATGAGGCCACAGGCTCCACCTCGCTCGACCTCTAGGGGCGGGCTCCGTCTCACCTGATACCGAGGCCGCGGGCTCTGCCTCGCCCGCCCCGAGGCCACGGGTTTCTCCTCGTCGACCCCCAAGGTTGCGGGCTCCACCCCGCCCGACCTCAGGGGGGCGGGCTCCGCCTCGCCCGACACCGAGGCCACGGGCTCTATCTCGCCCGACCTCTGGGGGCGGGCTCCGCCTCACCCAACCCTGAGGCCACGGGCTCCGTCTCGCCCGACCTCTGGGGGTGGGCTCCGCCTCACCCGACACCGAAGCCGCGGGCTCCGTCTCGCCCGACCCCGAGGCCGTGGACTCATCCTCGCCCGACCCCAAGGTCACGGGCTCTGTCTCATCCGACCACTCAGGTGCAGGCTCCGTCTCGCTCGACGGGGTCCCATACCGCCGACATCCACTCCAGGTCCAGGTGTATGGGCCTAGGTCAAAACACTGACACCAGGGAAGAGACCGGCACGCACCGATGTAACCCGCGGCCACGACGAACCTTACTTGAGGATTCACATCAAGAACAACATCTGGCGTATCGGTGTTGTTCTGCATAACCCTCGTACGAACATTGATAGCGCGTCAGTTCACCACGACGACCGCCAGGACGGAGTGGAGCGCCATGACTGGCAGACGACGCCTGCGCATGGCGCCAGTGACGGACAGGGCCGCGACGTGGCACCGTCCCTGTTGACATCTACAGGGTCGGTGGGGCCCGCATGAAGGAGAAGAATGACCTGGCGATCCTGAAGGACTTCGGCTCTCTCTCTCGTTCTTCTCTTTCCCTCCGCTGTAACCCGTGCTTTCCCGTGGCCTATAAAAGATAAAGCAGGGCGTCCCATGAGGGGATCGATTCAGGCCAGACCCGATCGAACCATCACGAACCCATCAAACCTCGAATCGATCGGAACACAACACAAGCACATGGTTGAGCAGCGACCGAGCTCTCAGCACCCGTCCATTTTTTCCACCAGAGACTTGGGACCTGTCCCTCTCTCGCCTGTTTGTAACTCCTACTACAAACTTTCGGTGCTAGTAACACGAGTAGCAGCGATGAACTGGACGTAGGGACATTCTGCCCGAACCAATATAAACCTCGTGTCCTCTAAGTACATCATCCGAGCCAGACGCGTAATATTAGAAATTTACTCGTTGATGGTAACTCAAAACACCGACACATGCTATCCCCATCCTCAATTACCCTTTGGCTCCCTCAATGAAATTAATGTCAAGCTTCGATGTCATGCAGGCTGTCAGGTGGCTCCGAGGAAGCGACATGGGGAGAGGCTTGTGCGACGTGCCAAGGTTGAGCTCTAATACTACCCCTTGAGCTCCTGATAAGGCAAGCTTGAATGGATGACGGTATAGTGCTGGAGCAGAGCTAGGCGTTGGTTTAGGGAAGGCAATGCTAGCCTTGGACTCCATGGTTGATTCGCATTGCGTACGCTAAGAGATATGATGGATGAAAGGAGAATCTCTCCCTTCTTTGCTAAATGCCCTGTTCGTTTGGCTGATAAGTCATGGCTGAAAGTACTGTTGACTGATTTGTTATGAGAGAAAAATATTGCTCATTGGCTGAAAAAGTACAGTTTATAAGCCAAGCGAACAGGACGAAAGTCAATGACACATCTCGCATGGGATTCATAACATTTCTCCAATAGTTAGTAAAAATCTAGGATGCCAAACACCTTCTTTGTTTGCCAGCGGCTAAAACTACATAACCAATAGTGAATGGCCTAAGCAGATGAAACAAAAATAACCAATATGATAAGTCCTATGATGACAAGCAATATGGTAAAAGGTACTGAAATCACGAATCTGAGTAGTAAGACACATAAGTGAACAACATTTGAAGCATACAAGATACTAAACGAAGCTTGGATCTATCCTCTCCTCGTGAAATGAACTAAGAGCCCGAGAAAGCTAGAACCATGCTAAACAAGACCTAAAACATATTTGGGGTTGGGTATGTGCGTGTGGGTGGGTGGGGAGGGGGTGGGTTATACGCTAAATTGTATATTAGGTCAAATTGTATGCTACCGTGCAATTGTGCAAGGCATTTCCTTAGTTATTAGAAGAAGAAAATCGACCCAATTTACTAGAGAATCTGGATCCGAAAAACATATAAATAAATCATACAATACAACTAAAGGGTATATATTGCCTTTGAACACCGGTGTTAACATGCCCAACGGATGTAGACTTTATTATCTTTTTGGTACTTTGTCCATGAACCTAAAAAAATTGCTACACACTACGTACTTCCAATGAGACGCGGGGAACGTGAAGCCATGTAGCAGCTGAAACCACAGCGAATTAGATACCTTCTAC